TCAAATAATTACCATTAAGCCGTAAAATATATTAAAAGTTAACCATACTACAAAAAAAAAACAGCAAAAAATGTAAAATGAATGGTCCATTAAGAGTTTCTGCGACTTTAAAATTAATCAAAAACTTTAATTTAATCAACAAAATTCTATGTTACGCTAAAAAAAAAAAAAAAAACAAAACATAGTTAACAAACATGAATTGTAAAGAAAAAAAATTATATGAAGAAACAAAAAAACCAGACAGCTGTGGGTCATTCAAATAGTTGTAGAAGACCTTCAGCAAGGTTATCATCAATTTTACTTTGAGTACATAAATTATTATTTTAAAAATATTTGGCAATTTTAAAACTGATTGTGATTTCCTACATTGCAAGATTTTAGTTTTTTTTTCTTTTTTTTTTCTAATTGCCTTCTTCACCTGTATATTTGTTGTATAACAGCTGATCTAAGAGATTTCTATACAAGAAGTACATATGTACTTTTCGAGTTGTTTTTTTGTATACATTGGTTATATAATTTACATATTGGTTCCAACCAGATATTAATTACTTACACTACTAGCACAAGAAAACAAGAAGCAAAAATGAATTTATTCTCTATAATCTATGAATGTATGTGACTACAAAATCTTAATCTCCCAGTTAGACACTATATTAATTGGTAATTTGTTAATCTGTTATCAACTACAAATTAAATAAAGAAATATAGGTGAAAAATGGTAAGTTTAATTTTTCTATACAATAAAGTTACGGTTTTACTTACAAACTGGTTAAAAATATTCTCTATCAATATTTATTTTAGAATGTAGTTATTGTTTTACGATATTTATGAATATAGTGCTCAGTAGAATTGCGAATAGGTATTTGCCTTCTTAATTGTTACACCAGAATTAATTATCATGAGAACCCTAATGAAAATTGCTGCAATACACTCGTACCTATTTTGCCATATGAAAGAATTGCCTCTTCTTGCCATGCACCTGGTCAGATAACCCCATTGTTTACCAAAACAAAAGCGGATTACACATTTAATGTGCTATATGTTTAAAGTTTACAAAAACTATTGAATAATCTGTGAAGGGCACCAAATATGCTTTTGAAAACTCCAGTGAAATGGTTCGTTTATTGACTCTCAATTCTAAAAATTTAAAAACTTTATTTATTATATTTGTAGTGTTAAATAAATGATACTATTTTTATAAATAAAACCTCCCTTAAATTTAATAAAATACAAAACTAATTATTTTTTAACTATTGATGCTTATTTACTACGGTTATTACTACAAATAATGCAATATATATACAAATTTAATGATCGGAAAGTCTGATAAATATTTTTAATTTAATTTTTATAATATAGGTACAAAATATTTTAATTCTTGTTGAGATTATATTTTCTATTATTGCTTTACTATAATATAATAGATAAAACCTACCTCAAGAAATTATTTTTTCTAGTCATTAGTTTATATAACTATCGAACTGGTTAGAGTGCCAATGTACTTAAACATAATTTTTTTTTCTTAAAAAAAAATCTTCAGCCTTGACATAATTTATTTAACTTGAATTTTTTTTCTCAGTGTAATTGTAGTTTTTTTTTTATTATCATTGTTTTTTGTAAACCATTTGGTTCCGTATATGTGAAGCAAAAAAGTTTTAAAAGAATTTATATAATAAATTGTGTTATAATATTAATTAATTTTTTTCTTATTTAAAATTATATTTTAAATTAAATATTTTGAGTATTTGTGATTGATAAGGTTTCTTTATTTTTATTCCTTCTTTTGGGCAATTTTTTTTTCAACTCCTTAATTGTATTTTGTATTGAGGAAACGAAATTGAAGTACTCGAACTTGTAAGATAAATTATTTGAGGTGATAATTGGTAATTTAAGATATATAGAAATTAAGTTTAAAAAAATAAAAAGGAAATTGTTTTTAATTCATTTCTTTAAAATTTGCTATTTGCAATACTTGAAGGTTGAAATATTGAAGTAATTTACCACATGAATGTGAAATTTCAATTTAATATTCATTAATTAATGTTCATTTACTAATTTAATTGATTTGAAATTTTCAAAATTTTATTATTAATTGCAAAAATTCCTAAAACTTTTATTTGATTACATCCGGAAATTCTTATAATTTTTTTTGTAGAATTCGAAATTCATTTATCAATAATCAAAATGATACTCAAAATAAAAAAAAACTAAACCAATTTTCAATTAAATTTTAATGCAGTGGAATGCATATTTCATAGCTAACAAAAGAATTTTAAATTACTATTAAGTTTTATTCTAAATTATTATAATTCAACCTTTAAACAACTTTAATATTATGAACTACTTATTATTAAATTATTTACATTTTATAAAATAGGTTCCTACTTATTTGATTTGTATTCTTTTTTTTTTTTCTTCATTAAAAAATGGTTTCATAATAAGTTCATAATTTAAATTTAGAACACGAGATTATTTTTAAATTAAATGTAAAATCATTTAATAATAGTTTAATTTAAATTGTTAGGTAATAAATAATAAAATATTGTTAAGTTATATATTCTAATTCGAATGTTATGTAAAGTGTTTTTCAGCAACGACTAAATATTACCAATTGAATTAGATAAGACTAGCTCTAAGAAAATTACGAAGAATACAAAAGAAAGCGTAAATCAAATCCAAATTTATTTGTTAATTTGTCCTTTATTTTGAATTTAATGTTAAATATTAGGATTAAGATTTTTTGTATGCTAAAAATTATAATGTAGTTTATATACTCTATAATGTCTGCCTAACTCATTGTTATACTTAGATGCTTTGTTATAAGAATTTAAAATTTTCTAAAAAGATAAGTTTTGGGAAAATTATTACATGAAAAGAAATAAGTAGATCTACCTCGCGTCCTAATAATTAATTAATTTATACAGATATGTACAATAATATAAAACATCTCTGTTCTTGTACTTCTGCTTTTCAATACAAAAATATTCCTTGAATGGTAACATTAGAAAAATTTAAGCTTTTTTTTTTGACGCAAATTCAAAACGCGTCATATTTTCCAATTAGTTATCTAACAGAGTTAATATAAGATTTTTGTATAATAATATCGAATATCTTCCGTTGATTTTCGAAGGTTTTTAATCAATTAATTTTTTATTTCTTTATTCATTTCATCAATAAGACACTGTAGCTATATTAAAAATGTTATCTACAAACATTTTCCGTGAAACGGAGTCTTCTCTTTTAATTTATTAATATTTTTTTCTTGTATGATTTTTTTTCTAATCGGTTGTTTAAAAAAATACTTTTTTTATTATACATATTCTTTTGTAAAACATGTTATTATTATGTTAATAAACATACTAAACTTGAAAAATTCGAGGTTGTTTAAGTTTTTACTTTTTTTTAATCTTATTTTGCTTACGTATATCCCAATATTAAGTTTATGAATTTGATATATTTTCAAATAAAATTTGAACTGATGCATTCATTTGTAATCTTTTAGGCCTGAGCAATTATCAAAAATACTTTATAATTAATAACTTCTATACACAATTATAATTTATAATTATAATTCTTTATAGAATAACTTTATACAGGTGCTAAACCTCTTAATATAGGTACCAATTTAAAACTTTATAAGTGCATATATAATTATGTGTGAAAATTTGTATTTTGTTGAACCACTTGCCAATCCTGTTGGGTACTAAACTTCTATCTTTTCAAAACGACGCTCATGTGATATGTGAATGTTTTAACATATTCTGTTAATTACTGAACCTGGCATATTTTGCTTATGTTAACGTTATATTTTAGATTGATCAAACATACTAAAATTAATATAGTTCTATTTTAGTAATAACCAAATAATAATATATGTATGTATATTTTCTAACTGCAATGAATCCTTCATTTTTTTTTTCTTCCCAGATATTTTATAATCACAACGAACCTACATATTATGTATGTACATATGTAGTGTAGGCATTTAATATCTTTTTTACAAACTTTTACTGGAAAATATGAAGTGAACCATTATCCAACTGACAACTTTAACTGCTTTTTTTCCTGCAAAATGTAAAATATACAATAAAAAAAAAAATTAGCACTATATTACCAAGAACTTACCTGGTTATGTAAATTTGTAAATTCAACCATCTAACATTTCCGAAAATCAATTAGCCATTTGAAATAACAATACTTCAGATAATACGTCGCATCTGTTTTAAAATTGGAATAAGGCTTATAAAAATTTGTATGCCTGACAAAATCAAAAACTTGAAATGATAAAAGCCATGAAAAAAATTTCAATTTTCAATTACAAATAATAAATTAACCATAGCCACTTTTTGGTTCCTTTTAAATTTGAACGAATTAAAAAAATTTTCATTTTTATTCTTTTAAACTTCTTTTTCAAATAATTAATTATTTAATTTCAACACAAACAGTAATAAAACTACTACCTACAATTTTTTATAACGAAAACTAAATATCAAACATTTAACTGTTTTTGAAACATGTACAACGACATGGAAATCCCTCTTTAATTATAACCAAAAAAAAAAAAAAAATATTCACCACAGCATTTTTCTTTTTCACCATTCTAAAATGCCAAATCAAACGTCAAATTTTGTTGTCAATTTTTAATTTTGTATTTGTTTTTGTATACAATTTAACGAATATAATCAACCAATCAGAAAGCTTGAATATGGTCTGATAAAGAGAACGGTATTTAAGTATTGCCATATTATTAAAATAATTTTTATAAAAATATAAACAAACAATCAATTTTCAAAAATTATTCAATAAAATTGTTACAATAATTAAAAAATTTTATTAAATTTTAAAAAAATATTATTAAACTAAAAAAAATTTGAAGTTTCTATCAATTTTAATTGATTTTTTTAAAATAATGATTGCTGTAATAATTAAATTAATGTAATACTGGCAATGATACGAGTCTATAAAAACAATCTGTTAAACGTCAAAGTTTACCATTTGAAAGTTGGCGTTTGTCAAGAGATTTTCTCTATTGCTTTAGTTTTTTTTTTATTATTTCAAAGTAAAAAAAAAGTAAAAAAGGAGAAAAAAAAATTTCTTTTAGATTTTTTTAAAAGCAGACGCGGTGTTGTGTTTTCGTTTTTTTTGTTTCTTGAAATTAAAGAAAAGTAATATTAATTAATTTTATTTTGTTTTTTTTTTTGATAAAAAGAAAATTAAATTTTATTTAGTTGATTTTTGCTTTCACAAAAATAAATTAAAGAATTAACAATAAAATCAAAAATTTTTATTCAAATATAAAAGCAAAAATTTTGTGTAAAATTTCAAGAGTTGGAAATTGGTTGATGGTGTGTCGTGTTTAAAACCTTGTCACAGAAGAAAAAAAAAAGTATTTTTTGAAAAATTATTCGAATGGTTCTCTAGTCAGTCAAACTAACAAAAAATAAATTTTTTTTACAAAAATATTATTAATTCACTTTTAATAAAAAAAAAAATTAAAAAGGAATAATAGATGTGATTTTAGAAATATAATATTTAGAAGGTTTAAAATAAAATTTATTAAGAAAATAAAAATATAAATTATTTTGCTTTAAAGTAATTCCAACCGGAGGTGTGATATTATTTTGAGCGCGTTCTAAATAGGTTATAATTGTATTACTAGCGAGAAAAATATAAAAATAGCAAAATCTAAATTTATAAAGTGCTTGTAACAATATATTATTAATATTTTCAAAAAGAAAACTTAAACAGTATAAACAATTTTATATTTGTATTTAAATATACAAATATAAAAAAAGAAAATCAAATCTTCAATTCAAAATTTTTATAAAAAGCCAAATCACGGATTTTTCAAATAAATTTCATATTGAAATGAGTGGATTTAACTCGGATATAAAAACAAGCATGGAAAATAGTCGGTAAGTATTTCAGTAGTGTGTTATGAACATGATTTTTTTTTTTAAATTAGGTATTATTTTACTTATTAGGTATCTAACCTACATGTAAAACTACATAGGTGTACTTGTATATTAGATGGGTATAAGTGCATAAATATTAAATATCGTGTGATTTTAAATAAATACTGACTTGCGCGCGTATAATTTTAATTTAACAAGAGAAAACCTACCTTATGTAGGTTTGTTAAAACTGTTTAAAAAACGATAAGGTCGCATACAAATTCTCAGAAAAGATTCCTTTTAATTGAATAAGCAATATTAGAAATAGGTTCTTAGTACCTAACGATTACTTATTTAACAAGAATAAAGGGAATCATTGCTGTAAAGAAATTAGACTTGACCGACCAACTGATATTTCTTTTATTACACTAAGTATAAGATGATAGTTTCTGAACATATGCTCATACATATACCTTTATGGGTACAGAATGCTTATCTCCCTGTAAAAGTGTACACGTATCACACTTGCCTGATCCAATAAATCTTTAATTTGTTTTATGAGAAAAGTTAAGCTTGAAAAATAATTAGTATATAGGTATATTTCAGTACTTATGTAGAAAAAAAGAATTTGGGCAAACCTAACAATCTTTTTCGAATTGATTCTTGAAAGATTTAAGTAATGACTTGTTACCGACATAATATTTTGTCGCTAAATATTAAAAGTAAATTACTTGTAATTACTTGCTAGTATAATTATCATTACCATTTACAATAATATTAAAGCGTCTCAACTGCATATCTAAATTCGTCATAATATTATAAAGGCAGGTAGATGCATACATATTTACTCACTCGATACAGTTACTAGTACAATTTTGTCAAATAACATACAGTAATTTTTGCCTTCATCGTCATCATTTCATGTATTTTTTTCCTTTCTTTCATAAAAATGCTTTGAGTTTTATGAAAGCAAAAAATATAAGCAATCTATAAAATAAAATTTTCCACTAATTTTTCGATATCGTAGCTCTGTATATATAGGTTTGTATGTAGGTAGTTAGATATATATGAAATAAGTAGATGTGTATGTATACTTATGCCATTATATAGTTAGGTTAGGACGTATACGAGTCCATATTATTACATACTTTTATATATTTTATATTAATTTACAAAAACTCGAATGGTTATTATTACATACAGTCTTCAACTTTAAAGTGACTTGAGTATAAAAATAATAAAAGTTTGAGTGTATGTTGTACTGATGTGCTTACATTTTTTTTTCGATAGTTATTTTTTTTTATCATTTATTATAAGACTCGTATCTTGAGTATTAATTATATTAAATATCCATATATGAAAGTACCATATATATTAGTGGTTATAGATATGTATAAGCTATGAGTATATGGAATGAAATTCAAATATGATTACAATAGGAACACGATATCATTACTTATATATCATGTATGTATACAAATATTACATACATATTTGTATGGATGTTTGTGTTAAGAAACTACACACGCCCTGAAATAACATACGATATGATTTTGAATGTTTTATTTTATTTTTTTTAGCTTTCTTATAATATGTATTTTAGAGTTTGAAATTTTAGGGTATACCGTGAGAAATTTCAAAATTAAATATAATATTATTAATTATTTTTATAAAAATGTTTAGACCATAAGCTTAAATATTATGGGCATGAAAATAAAATGGGGTAAGTAGGTACCTATTCGGCCGAATTTTAATTTAAAGCAGATTTTCCTTTATTTTACGTTTACTTAATTTAAAAAAATATTAAAAAAATGTGAGACTTCGTTCACATTTTTTTAATATTTTTCTGCCCAATTCATTATACAACTATTTTCTTCTATTCTATACTCAAACTGGTAACAAGTTAATTAGAATTTCGTAATATTTAGTAGGTAGGATAGAAATATGCAAGTTCAGTCATTCTTAATGCTCAGCTATCTCAAAAAATTTTTAGAATTATTTTGAAATTCTTAATTGTTCAAAATATGTCGGCTAAATTTAAATGTTAAAAATATTTCAGTTAATTATTTATAATTTATATTAATAAATCTGTTATAAAATTTTATCGCTAAAAATTGCAAGCCTAAGTATTTGACCAGAATTCAATATACTACTTACTTTTCTAAAAAAAAATATATAAAAATGTTAAATAATCATTCGATTTTTATTTATTTTTATGTTTATTTAATTATTAATGTCAACAAATCGTTCAAAATTGCGTAAGAAATATAAAGTGTAAAGTACCTACATACACTTAACTTTCGTTATAGACGTTAAAGCTAACAAAAAAAAAGTGATTTCGTTTTTTATTTTAATATTTCACAAGTAGCTAAACTATATATGTATGTACATACAATGTGAGTAGGTATACTTATAAGTAATTCATTATATTTATAGTTTCTTACGTTTTCTCGTAAATTACTAAAAAAAAAATTTTTCATTCAATAGACAGAAAAGTAAGCTTTTTTTTTTTAGTCATATTTTTGATAACGTGATACTTATTTGAAAAAAAAAAAAATCCCGTGAGTTGACGAATTCAGTGATAAGCAATGATAAGTGGGTTTCCTTTTTTTGTTTTTTGCTTTGAAGAGTATAATAATTTTGATTACTTATAGTTATATATTAGTTTTATGTAGTTAAGATTATAATAATTTTTGTTAGTTATTTTAGTACTTAAGTATACTTATAACATTAATATGTTTGTAAAAGTATGTATATTTAAAAGGCATTTTCCAAATACATAGTTAGGTACTTGAAGTCGACTGATTCAATAAAAATTTCAATTTAATATTAATTGAGTAATATATAGTTGTACATTATATGTTTGTAGATGAAATAATTAAAAGAATGAAAACGGAAATTCTTAAAGTATATTCTTAAAGTATATTCTACAAAATTGTTATCATTTTGCAAAAGTACTAGATATTTAATTATTAATTAAATAATCTAATGAATAAATGACACAGAGCTCTTATTAATCTAATATCAATTGTGTGTATTCACACATTATTAAACACATAGTGTATTCAAGTAAGAAGAACCAATTCCCGAGACAGTAATTCTAATTTAATAAAAATAATTTTTCACTGGCTCTGTTATCAGAGGGGGGCGGTGTTAATTATTGTTTTAAAAGTACAGAAAAGTTAAAAAAAATTTTATTAAATTGAAATTAATAAATTTCGTAAATTCGTACTAAGTAAACTAAATTTCCAATAAATGTATAATACTTCTAATACACAAGCTATTTATTAACATTAAACTAACTGAGTATATAGCACTCATTCAAATTATAATTGGATATATGTATTTAAATATTTTAAAATATTAATTTCAATGGCATGTCCTTTAAAATAATTTTGAGTTATTTTTAAAATTATTAAAAAAAAAATTGAAAATTTCATTATTTTGTTCAATATTATTTGAAATTTTCCCTTTCAAATTCAATAAAAAATTCAAGGAATGATAATGCATTTGCTTAAATTCCATTTTATACGAGTAGTTAGGTAGGTACCTTCTTACATCACAATGAAACTTAGCAATGTTTAATGTCTACAATTTTTGTATACATACTTATTACATTAAAATAAATTTGTTCGTTACATATTAAAAGTGTAAAATGATGAAAACCATTTGCTGTCCGCATGATACTTATTTTGTAAAAAAAACTAAAAGTATTTTTTCTAATATTATAAAAAAAAATCATGAAATTTTCAAAATAAATTTCATCAAAGAAAATTAAATAGCTGTACACCCAACAATGATAAAGAAAATACTCACTTAATATTTCAAAATATTTATGTAACTATATATAAGTATAAATATCTGTGGTTATAGGTATGTCAAGTGTTTGCAAGTGTAAATTTCACTTGGAATGTGTGTATGTAATTGTTTTACAAAGATTTTTTTTCTCTTTTTTTTAAATCAATGACGCAATAATGAAAATAAAAAGAAAATCACATAAAAATTCAAAACCCAAATCTCATCAGAGCTAAAGATGACTGAAATGATAAAGAAGATTGGGGCGGGATACGGTCAAATTTTAATAAACTAAATTTTGTATGTTAGTTCGCGTGTGCACAATAGTTTGTTTATAGTACGAAATTTTCCCATCGAGTTTGTTGTATGATTCGAAATTTTCGACTTTTTTATTTATTATTTTTTAGTTTTAAAATATTTCTATTCTTCTCATCTAATTTTAGAATCTAAATGAACGCATATTTTAATGTAAATGGCTGGTTCTTGTTTTATTTTAAATAAAATTAGAATATTATGCCAATACGAGTCTCAATGAAAAATAATTATTCAAAATATATTTTACGATTGGCTGCCTACTTATTTAAGTATATATTTAAATCATAAATTTTGAAAGTTTTTTATTTATTTTATTTATAATTACTTAATTACTTTTTTTTTATTTTAATAATTAAAAATGCAATAACTTTTTATTTTAATTAAAATACATAAGGTAAGTGTCGGTAATACTGACAGTGACGGTAATACTGACATATATGAGGTTTTTTTTAATTATTAAGAGATTTTCTCTATACAACATATATATATTTTTTTATTTCTAGATTAATTCAAATTATCGCAATACTTCCTTTTATTTAGTTTTGAAATAACTCCAAAATATTGAGGATAAATCAGTTTTGTTTCCAAAGACATAGCAAAAGTGGGTTGCATTGGAGAATTTCTTATATTTTTTGCTTAATTTTTCCGATTTTGTTTTTATTGTTTTTTGAATTATTTGAAGGTTAAAAATATATGTATTTATATTAAATTAAATATTTTGATTATTTTTTATCTTATTTTATAAGTAATTCGGAGTAAAAACGTTAAATAAATAAGAATTTTAACAAATAATTTCTGTCAGTATTAGAAACATCTAAAATTCGACCCTGCTTCTATTACTGATATATGTGTCAGTAATACATCAAAAATCCGTATTTTTATAAATGCCGTCATTTTTAAAATATTTAAAT